TCATTTACGTACAGGAGGAATAACACTGGCCCCAAAACTGTACCCTGGGGGACTCCACTAAGCACAGTTTCCCAGCTAGACAACTTGGAGTTCACCCTTACTCTTTGTTGACGCCCAACTAGGAAGTCTTTTATCCACATCAATAGATTGCCTCCAATCCCGACATTCCTTAGCTTATATAACAGCCGGTTATGCGGAACTTTGTCGAAAGCTTTGCTGAAATCGATGTAAGCTACGTCTATAGGTAATTTTTGGTCCTTAAGAGCGCACCAGCTTTCACGAGCGACTAATAAATTTGTGAGACAAGAGTAACCTGTTCTAAAACCATGCTGCTTTTCGTAGAGGATCCGGTTTTCATCGAGATACTTTAACAGTTCCTTCCCAATAATCTTTTCTAAGATTTTAACAACCACACTAGTTAGGCTAATTGGTCGGTAATTCTCAGGCTTATGTTTTGAACCTGTTTTGAAGACTGGACTTACTATGGCGTTCTTCCAGTCTTTTGGTAGACGACCCTGGGCTGCTTACTTACTTACTTACGCCTGTTACCCCTTGTGGAGGAGCATAGGCCGCTCACCAGCATTCTCCATCCAGCTCTGTCCTGAGCCTTCCTTTCCAGTTCTTTCCAGTTGCTATTCATCCTTTTCATATCGGCTTCTATTTCTCGGCGTAGTGTGTTCTTTGGCCTTCCTCTTTTCCGCTTCCCTTCAGGATTCCAAGTTAGGGATTGAGTCGTGATGCACATTGGTGATTTCCTCAATGTATGTCCGATCCACTTCCAACGTCTTTTCCTTATTTCCTCTTCAGCTGGAAGCTGGTTTGTCCTCTCCCATAAAACGCTGTTGCTGATAGTATCCGCCTGTAGCTCTTCTAGAGTTACTGCCGGTCCCAAGCCCGGGTAAAGGAGGAGGGTTGGGCATGGGGTTAGCAACCCCATCCCGTAGAAAAGCTAACTCGCTAAAAAAACGCTAACCAGAAAAAATAATTCAAACCATTTAAACTCTGCCCTGGGAGTTGAAGGAATAATGACGTCTCATATTGAAAGCCGAAATTCTTCGGAAGTCACGAGGCCGATGCACCTTCTAACAACCAGAGCAACACTCTTTATAGGTACATGGAACGTCCGGACAATGTCGGAGACAGGAAAGACCAGCCAAATAGCAATGGAAATGAGGAGATACAAATTGGCAGTACTCGGAATCAGCGAAACCCATTGGACACAAACTGGACAACAAAGGCTAGGTACAGGAGAGATGCTGCTGTACTCCGGTCACGAAGAGGAAAATGCTCCACACACTCAGGGAGTTGCTCTAATGCTGTCCAAAGAAGCACAAAATGCACTTGTGGGATGGGAATCTCATGGACCCAGGATAATCAAAGCATCATTCAGAACAAAGAAGGAGGGGATCACAATGAACGTTATCCAATGTTATGCACCCACCAATGATAGCAACGACGATTATAAAGATCAGTTCTATGAAAGGCTGCAATCAATTATAGCAAAGTGCTCACGAAAGGACCTCACCATCCTTATGGGAGATCTAAATGCTAAAGTTGGAGTGGACAACACAGGATATGAAGATATAATTGGACGACATGGACTAGGAGAGAGAAATGAAAATGGGGAGAGACTTGCAAACCTATGTGCTTTCAACAAATTGGTTATAGGCGGCACAATATTCCCACACAAACGCATACACAAAGCTACATGGATTTCACCGGACCACACCACAGAGAATCAGATCGATCACATCTGTATCAACAAAAAATTCCGAAGATCAATGGAAGATGTGAGAACCCGGAGAGGAGCTGACATAGCTTCAGATCACCACCTGGTTGTGGCCAAGATGAGACTGAAGCTTAAGAAAGACTGGACAACTGGACAAACAGCACTACAAAGGTTTAATACAGCCTTCCTTCGAGATACTGACAAGCTCCATGAATTCAAGATAACTCTCAACAACAGGTTCCAAGCTCTACAGGATCTACTGAATGAACAAGAAACTACTTTGGAGGACAACTGGAAAGGGATAAAAGAAGCACTAACTTCAACGTGTCAGGAGGTTCTTGGTCCTAAGAAGCACCATCACAAGGAATGGATCTCTATGGGGACCCTGGGCTACGGATAGATTAAAACATACACTTAAAGGGTTCGCAACAAAGTTAGCTAATTCCTTTAATAACCTAGGATGCAGTTCATCGGGTCCAGTGGATTTACCTATGTCAAGCTTAACTAGCAGACCAAAGACATCGAGTTCTTTAATGGTTACGCTGTCCAGTGCTTGTGTGGGTGGATTTTCATGGACTGGTGAGAAGGGTGTTTCTATGGTGTATACATCGCTAAAGTATTTAGAGAATACTTGAGCTTTGCCAAAGTCATCCTCCACTAGTGATGTGGCAGTACTGTCTCCCCATAGTGAAGGAACATTTCTTCTTCTTTTTGTCCTTTGGTTTATATACGAATACAAGCGTTTAGGGCATTCTATGGATTCCCTAACGATTTTCTCTTCGTACAGCTTTCTGGCCTTACGGAGGGTCGAGGCACAGGTATTTCGAGCCTTTTGATACTGAGATTTCGCCTCGTCAGTCCCCAGTAACCTAAATCTGTCCCACATTTTCCTTCTTTTACGGAGAAGGATGCGAACCTCCCTACTGAACCACGGTGGGGAGTTTCTCGGTCTCTTAGGTGTAGTCCAAGGGATGTGGGGGTGATAACTTTTAAGTATAAATTCCGGAATACGTCCCAAGCCGTTTCGATTGATGACTCTGGGTCTAATTTCCAATCTACTAATGATGCTGATTTCATGATGTCTGGTATGTTTGCTTTCCAGACGTTAGGTCTGGATTGAGCTGAAGCGTACTCGTGATCGACAGTTATATGGAAGTCAAAGCTTAAAACTGCATGATCACTTTTGCCTAGGGGTGGCATGTAATCCAGGTTTGCAACATCATCCTCATAATGAGTCAATATAAGATCTAGTAAGGATGATGCAGAACCCGGGTCGTACCTAGTTGCTTCCTTCACGTGTTGCACTAGAGCACATGTGATTATCGCATCAACTAGTTCCTGTTCGAAGGAATTTGCTGACTATTCAGTCCGCAGATTTCCCCAGTCCACCATGGGTGCATTAAAGTCCCCTAGGATTAGACATCGATCATTTCGTGATAAAGTGTTGAGACTGCTTGGCAGGACCTCGTTTGCCTCACAGCTTGGACTGCGATAGATCAAACTAAGTAGTAACTCTTGTCCCCTGCATTTCAGACGGCAGCAAACTAATTTGTACGTCCCACTCTCATGGGATACACTGTCGATAATGGTGAATGGAATAGCATTCCTAATGAATAGAGCTACTCCCCCTCCTTTACGCGTTTGTATTCTATCGGCCCTTACCAATGTAAAACCCTCGAAATCAGGTTCCCTACTATCTATAGACGGCGTCAGCCATGTTTCTGTGACTGCGATTATGTCTGGCCTAGTTGAGTCAATCTGTACACCTAGTTCCGGTAGCTTATTTAGTAAGCTCCGGGCGTTGGTATAACAGACCCGAAGCCTATTTAGGTGGCCTCGTGCTTCACCCAGAGTGGCTTCGGCATCATCCTCTGTCGAAGCCTCACAACCCGAAAATTTACAATTTACAGGTCTTTTTCGCCAGCTTCTAATCTGAGCTGTAGTTAATTTTCGGCTTCTCGTCTTTTAACACGGTCCGCCAACGGTAAGTCCTTACGGAGAAAAACTCCTGAACCCTTTAATTTGTGTCCATTTTCTAAGATTAAGTCGCGTTCGTTTGGGGATTTGAAAACGACTTTGAGTAGTCTAGACTGATTTGGTTTCAGATGCGCTAGATTTCCTAGTCTATACACCTTTAGCAAGGTGACTCCGGGGATGTTTTTGGGCATAACTTGGTTGAGTAGTTGTTTTATCAACACAATGTCATGCTCAAAACGAGCTTTCGGTTCTAAGTTGTCACTGTCCTTGACTCTATGGAGAATGACTGATCTGTCGCTGTGATCAGACCTCGGCTTGTCGACCCTTTTGGTGGGGGTATGATTTCCTTTTACGTCATTTTGGCGTTTTTTCTTACGACCCGTACCCAATCGCCAACGTTCTTTGGAGTGGTAACCACATTCGCGTCAGGCGTACTGTGGGATTCCGGAAGGTTCAGGATGACTTGGGAGATTGGGTCATCTTTCGCGCTGGAAACCGATCGAGCCTTGCGGTTTCGGCTTCCGGAAGTTCCCTTCTGGGTACCATTTTTGATACGAGGGACAGAAGAGACTTTTTTGCGCGAGTTTCTGGTTGTAACAGTCCTCTTTGGAGGATGTTCTTCCTCCTTAGTAGAGTGTGGTTCGGCAGTTTTTGGACTCACTTGGGCCTGCCTTGTGTCAATCTGCGTGTCGACAGATTGAGTTCTGACTGATGTATCCCGACCGCGCTTGCCGAGACACTTTTTGCGGCATTTACTATTGAAATGGCCTCGGTTAACAGGCTATTTGTATCCAAACAGCACTGTTGACATAGCCATACACACCCATTTTTACTGAACCGCTTGAAAGCTGCAGGTGTTAGATTCGTGCAAACATCGTGGTACCAACCTTTGCACTCATCGCACTGCATGCCGCTATCAACAGGATATCGACATCCTGGGCGGTGGCAAATGCTTTTGTTGCATCTTCCAGTCATTTTAGGATGCGAAGTTGAGTGTTGACCACAAGTAGAAAAAAAACTATAAACAGTTAGGACCAAAGTACTAACAGACACAATGGAAAAAAAGGTACTCTGGAGTACCGACGATAAAATTATTTAGGATATCAAAGATGATACTCTAATAGAATACTTTAACTGAAAGAAATTCAATCAAAGTATAAAAACAGTAGTCTTGATACGTTAATAACGATCAAAACAATAGAATTTACTCAACGAGGAAAAATACCACTGTCCTTTTTAAATAGCGCGTACAAAAAAATATATAAATATATTCTAGGATTAATTCAATATAGTGATAAATAAAATGGAAACTAGTTGTGTCAAAAATCGTCAGTGTTCACGGGTCAATATCATATATAATTCGATAGTTTTGTTTGACATCACGCTCACTTTAAAGCCGCTCTGTGTGGATGAGACATGCTTCAGTCTGCAAATGTACGTTCTTCTGTTTTTCTCTTATGTGCACTAGGTTCATTCTCTTGCTTTGTCCAAAATCATTAAGCCGGACAAAAAGCCGGTCACCCCATTAGAAGAAGAAATTGCTCAAGTATGTCCGTCTATGTACTTGATCATTTCTTAGGCGATTATAGACTTACAGATTCATGATGACTGGTCTGACACCATGAAGCTTCTGTACTTTTGTGAAGCAAAAGTTTGTTTCCTTATTTCTTACTTATACGTATCAGGAAATGACTATAGGTAAAGAAAAGGCGGTCGTTATATATGTACCTGTTCCACAACTACGGACATACCAGTTTATACATAACAGACTCGTAGGCGAGCTCGAGAAAAAGCTCCGTGGTCCTCATGTTGTGCTGTTGGCTTTCCGAAGAATCATTGCAAAGCCTAAAAGAAATTGCAAATTTAATCCGAAGCAAAAGCGTCCTAGAAGTAGGACCCTAACAGCTGTGCACGAAGCTATATTGAAAGATCTTGTCTACCCTGCTGAAATTGTAGGAAAACGCATTCAAGTCAGATGTGATGGAAGTACCTTAATCAAATGCCACTTGGATGTTGCACAGAGAAACTACATAGAACATAAGGTATGTTTGTGTATTGTCTAAACTTCGTTTAGCTCAAAACTATCACGGGATTATACAAAAAGTTGACGGGTAAAGACGTCCAGATCGAGTTTCCGGATTGGGTATTGTGAAAATATGTAATATAATTTTAAAATGGATTAGTTTTTTCGTCTTTTTCACAGTTCTGGTTTATTTTCAGGGTAGTACCAATAATCCGAAGCCATTGTTAATATTTTGAGATTCTGATACGGTCTAAGTTTGGTGACCAATAAAATCATAGGAGCATTGGTCAGCTGTTTCACTCTAGGCCTCAAATGGTTGTCCAACTCACACCGGTCCCTAGTCTTATAAATATTGGATAATGTCCACAATCCCATGACACGGTGAAATATTTTCACAAAGTATCTTCGTGAATTGCTCGAAAAGGACACGAAAATTTTTGTTTACAAGCTTGTCATTGCTTCATACTAACATCATGTCTTCCCAGCGGGCTGATTCGTGCCGTAAGTGTTGTTTTTTCTAGCTGAATGCTATCCTACTTGGTCTGACGACTGAAAACTGTAGAACAAGTTCAACTGTAACTGTTTTTCGCACATGTGTGAAGCGCTTGTTCTGATTAAAATAACTGGGGTCATCAACGAATAGATGGTGTGTCAGCCAAATCCACATGAGCTCGGCGGACTATTATCTTCAGGAAACTGTGGTCAGGGGGGTTTTAAAAACCAAAGTAGGAGTCGTAGTTATTAACCACGGACGATTATGCACAAAGTGCTGTGTCTTGACAATAACATGCGACTAAGATAACATGGTCTAAGTCTCGTTTTGTCCAGGAAAATTTTCGCCATTTGTGCCGTATTTATAAAATTCATTATTCGTGAGTTAACATCCACTGCCTTCACACATAGGTCGTCTGGGATGCAAATAACTTCATGTATTTCAAGATGAGTTGTCACTATTGACCTCTTTTCTACTTAAGCACTTCTGTCATCAAAAAACCAGGGTAGCAAATGATAATGTGATAGCTGAACGTCTGGTAAATAGAGCAAGTATATATAAGCGAATCTAATATTTTGCGTATAAGTACCGTTTTGGGTGTACTCCACTCTATTATTAAGATGTCTACACTTGAATCCAAACTCTAAGCTCTTGTTTCCTTATCAAAACGACGACATCGAAATGTTTGTTTGCGCTTCATTCACGTCCACTCCGCCTAGTGAGAAAGTGTATGTTAAAGTTAATAGAGATGGCTAATTAAGCGATTCAGTCATGTGATAAGCTTCGACTATTCTCGGCGACATTCTGCCGTTGTGTTGGCTCGGTTTTCTCAAACTAGAATACTGTACGTAAAGCGTAATAGCTGCAGTTAGTTTTAGCAAGTTCCCTTGGATTTTATCTATTCCTAGTGTTCTCCAGTACCACCAATACAGTTGCTACTTATACTACGCCAGTATCCCTCTGTGCTAATGTGATATGACAACCTAGACCGATGCGCATAAGTGCCGGCCACGTCCGATGTTTTGAGTGTATGAAAATCTTTAGCAGTTCGTCTTTATGTTCACAGCAAGCAAACAACAGATAAATCAGAGCGTTTATTTCCAGACTGAAACATGTTATATACAACGAGTTATCAGTTAGTATGTAATAGATTTCAATATTTTGTAGGAGTAAACTGTTAAATACTAGATTGACTTATCCTGGCTACATCAGCTTTCTGAGATAGTATGTTAGCATAGCATATCTCAAGTTTTGGGGTATATGTGACAAGCAGTTATCACTGACAGATCACGGATCTAAACCTGGCTTCACTAGTTTCAGAAGTGAACTATTACTTGCCCTCCCAAGACTGACTGTAGGTGGAGTACGTAAGCGCAGTCTCTGCAAATGTATTGTTATTTGTTACGTCCTAATCCCTTGGTAAATTGTTTACTGGCATCATTAAGTCAGTAATGCGGAGGTCCGGTAACTTGTGTTTGGTGAATGGCAATAATTCAATAGGTGTCATCATCTGTCTAAACATCGACTTCTGTGGCTTAGACATGTGCTACGGGTGTCGTACCTGGAGATTCCACAACGACCAAAACAAATTGACATGGGACTTTAGTGAACGTGGCTCTAAGTAGGAGCAGGCAGCAGTCCTGTTGTAACTTTCCTTGACTTTATAATTGTGGGGAACGTCTCTAACAGGAAGAGTCCTTTCATTTTCTTCACCGAACTGCTCCCAATGATCTTTTTACTGATTCACTCATTTTTAATTTGTCACACTTCCCTTCTCCATCTCTTCATAATACCGACTTCTAATTGTGTTGCGTATATATTCCGTTGCTGCATTGTGCCAGAATTTGTGTTAAAAGGTGACAGGTTACTTACTTGATTATGAAAAGTAAGAAACAAGTGACAATACAACACATTTAAAGTAATAGTCAACATTGATAATTATCTGTTAAAAAGGAAATAATATGAGGGAACGAGGTTGTCGATCATAAAGTGATAATCAATAAAAGTAGATGAGTGACGATCAAAGTACAGAGTGAAATAAAATTTAAGTTAATGTCGTGAGTGAATGGTAGTGGGATTTACTCTCTTAAGTACAGTAGAGATTTTAGACTTTCGTGTTCAAACAACAAAAATGGAGAAGGAACAAACATGTTTAATCGTTGCACAAGAAATGGATAACCAAAGAAAATCTCAAACAGCTATTACGAAAGAGCATGTTTTCATGAATCTTGTATACAAGGAAGAAGATATTACTGTTAGACTTGGCAAAAGGATTCCAGTAGAACTAGAAAGGAGGTTCCCACACCCCAATTGTTGTTTATAAGACCAGTCAGTACTCTTCAGAGGTGACTAAATTCATTTACGAATTTCCGTATAGTAAGGAAAGTAAGCACGTAAGAAAAACCAAAAGATGAGGATCAACAAGGCTTTCTAATTATGTTCATCAAGAGCCATAATCGAAAGAAATAAAAGTATTCTCAAGTGCAGTCAGCAAACGTCTGATAGATAACAGGATTCGCAAAGGCGTGGGAAATAACTATCAAGCAGCGGAGACCGCTTGTTTTTCTGAGGCTATCGCCATAAAATGCCTTTGACTTGACGTATGTATACGGTAAGAAAGCGCAACTAACCCATTGCTTGGGTGTTGATATCTTAATGTTTGTCAATTAAATTACCTCCGTTAACTTTTTTAACTGAAAATATAAAAAAACCTGGGGTTTATGTCACCTAGGTACCTTGACTATCACTCATTTGTTTACAATTCATTTTCTCTGCTATCATTTATAACTTCATACCTTTTCTTTACATTACTTTGTTTTCAACATATAAATATCAGTCGGTCTTAACTATTATGTTCAATGTGTTGTCTGTCTTCTCATTATGTTTCTTGTCATTTAGAACTAAACACTACTAACTACGGTATGTCAAACTATTCACGTTGACATGGGTAAGGACCTTTTTAGCTGATGGGGAACCCTTGAAATGTAGAGAATTCAAGGTATTCTGTGAATCTTGTTCTCGCTTTATTTAAGTTATTATGTGCCAAGTCGGATGTGTCCTGTTCCTTTGCACGATGAATTTGGTTTGAGTTTTCGACCAAAGTAAGTCTGAATTAATATTTTAGGTACAAGAGTTACTTGTCGGTGCAGTGCATAGCGTCCGGTATACATATGTCAATACATAGACTGTCTGAAACTAGTTAGTTTATCTACTAAATGTCTGTTAGTGCAACTTTGTTGTGATAACAGTTTTATGTAGTGAGATAAAAATCACTCACTGAGTGGTGGTGAGCTTGAAAGGAATTTGAAGTAAGCACGATACTGTGTACATTACCAGCCGTATGATGCCTACTTTTCACCTCGTTTGAAATTCCTCAGTCACATGACAGCAACTACACAAGTAGACAGCTCCTGCTTTAACAATAAAAGAGTAAAATTCAATTTTACGGCACCATAAATTGATATTAATTTTTAAGTGACATCTAAAGAAGAATTATAGTATATTTGTCCACAATAAGCCTAAGATTGTCTGGTACACGTGCATGGAAAGCTGTTGTATTTCATGTCATGTCTATTTTGACTTCATCTGTTCATGAATGACAGTCGAAAATTCTATTGAAAAAACTTTAAGTCGTGCTATATCCTCAGGCAAATGACACTGATCAAGGAATGTAACTACGAACTTTCTTGACATCCATGAATACAATAATATACGGGTCTAATCTGCTAGCAGGATACTCTAAAATTGCAAAATCTAAGCGTATTTCATAAAGTGAAAATGCCTGGTATTTATCACTTCCCGTTTAGATCCACAATGTTTCAGAACTTGTTTGTATTGATGTCTACTTTAGCTACAGTGAGTGAGGTAATCGGATGTCGATAATTTGGTCAACCCAGATTAGTTGACGGTCAATAGGATCCCGACACGAATACAAAACGCCTGCCCAGTGTTGAATCCGGAGATTAAACTTGTAGAGGATTAATTCCTCTATATCTTACTCCAATAAATAAATAATATTCCACTAACTGAATATTTACTGCAGGCTAAATCTCCTAGTAGAATTACAGGTTTACTCGAGATTATTCAAAAGCCTGAACACCAGTTATAGAGATAGTTTATTGTTGAAGTTTGGTAAAAATCCACAAGCGTACGGATAGGAAGCACACCGGGAAAACAAGTGTGTGTGTGTTAAAAATCCATATATATTTATGAGTGTTAATGGTTGTGGATGAATTATTGATTGTCTTTGTTTACAACCAATGAGGGAACAGAATAAAGATTGATGTGCAGACACATGCGCTCAATCAGACTCACACATAAATTTACGGTGGATTAAATGTTAGGATTACAGTGAGCACACAAAAAATACAATAGTTGAATGGGCTTGCAACAAACTATTGTTAACTTCAGGGAACTATTTATAGACTGTATCACATAAATTTTCCTTTTATTATAAGCCATCATTAGAATTTTGGCTACTATTCTTAATTTACTCCGAATCTATTAGTCATAATCTTCTATATTCACAGCCACTTTTGTCTTGGTCCTGTATCACCATATTTTTTATTTTATGGTGTGATGTTGTCTGCTCTGCTTGTATATAGACTACGCATATCTAAAATATACTGTCCATACAGTGGAGAGGGATACTGCTTTTTGGACTCAACAGTGAGGGCTAGGTGAGAAGCTACTATCACTGTTTCATTTGCTTACGGTCTGGCCATTCAGTAATAAGGATAGAAGGTCTAGTGACCTACTTTAATCCTTGCAGTTTGTTGCACTGTGGAGGTCCAATCTCGTCTTGAATATATCAACAGAAGGTGCTGATATTACGTGTTCTGGTAGAGAATTCCAGTAATTCACTACTCGGTGCGAGAAACGAAAATCCAGACGTAGACGATTTGATCTCGGTTTTTGGACTTTCTTTGAATGTCCTCTCAAATGCTCACCCCTAGACGGGAGGAAAAGATAGGACATGTTAGTACCAAGGTCATCGTTCAGGATACGATATGCCAATATTAGATCACCCCGTATTCGCCGGTAAGATAACGGAAATAAGTTGAGGTGTCTCAGTCTGTCTTCATAAGATAGGCTAGATAAGCCTTTTACCATTTTTGTCCCGCGGCGTTGGACTCGTTCCAACATATCCGCCTCATATTTGAAACAAGGACTCGCTGCTTGAATCCCATATTCCAAATGTGGCCGTACGAAAGTTGTGTATAATAATCTAAACATTTCCCCATCCAGATACCGGAAAGATCTTCGAATAGACCATAATGCCCTATAGCCTTTTGCAGCAGCAGCCTTACAGTGACTGGTTGTTTTGAGATCATTACTTAGTATGACTCCTAAATCTTTATAGTTTCTTACTTTGGGCAACACTAGTCCACATAATGTGTAGTGATACGAATCATCGTAGTTATTTAATTGCATCACAACACTTTTATTAGGGTTTACTTCTAGTGACCACCCATTCATCCATGCAACTAGTGAGTTAAGATCTTCCTGTAAAACTATTCTGTCTGACATACTATATATGGGTCTCCAAATCTTAATGTCATCGGCGAATAGTAGGACGGATGACTTAGCTATAGCTGGTAATTCATTTATATAAAGTAAAAAGAGAAGAGGACCTAAAATCGTGCCTTGGGGGACGCCACTTTTTACTGGTTCCCACGATGAGAGAGCCCCATTTACTCTTACCCGTTGTCTCCTTTCATGAAGAAAGTCACTTAGCCAGTCTATGACTGCATAATGAATTCCAAAACTTTCTAGTTTCAATTTAAGACCAGAATGGGAAATCTTATCAAAGGCTTTACTTAGATCTATGAAAATGACATCTACAGGAATATTGCGATCTTTTGCCTCAGCCCAATCTTCTCTTGCAATGAGAAGATTTGTCAAACATGATAGACCTTTTCGAAAACCATGTTGTTCCTATGACAAGAGATCATGTCTTTCCACGTAGTTTATAACAGCCATCCTAATGATTTTTTCCATTAGTTTTACAACTGCACTAGTTAAGCTGACGGGTCGATAGTTACTAACTAAATCCCTACCCCCAGTCTTATACACCGGACTGATTATTGCGTCCTTCCAGTCTCTGGGCAATCTGGACTGCCGTAGGGACATATCGAACAGCATCGCTAAGGGTTCAGCAATAACATCTGAGAGGGCTTTCATAACCCGAGGATGAATATCATCAGGACCACTAGACTTATCAGGTTTGAGATGCTGGAGTGGGCTTAAAACATTTTCTTTCTTAATAACTACAGGGTCCATCAACAAGTCGCCACAATCACAATGAATAGGTGATCGTTCCTCATTATTGGTAGAAAAAACTTAACTGAAATATTCCGAAAAAGCTTCCGCTTTTTCGGTATCATTTCTTGCCAAACTTAACGGATTTTCTTGTATCAAAAGTGATGGTATTCCATCACTTCTCTGAGTTCGCCTCTTTATATACGAGAATAACCGTTTTGGACTATGTTTGCAATCCCTAACCAATTGTTTTTCGTATGACCGTCTAGTTCTACTAATTAACGCTTTACAATTATTTCTAATCTTACTTATCTGTACTGTTCTAAGCCAGTAGAGATGAACATGTTCCAGTGTTTTTTTCTACGCCTAAGGAATTTCTTAACTTCTTTATTTATCCACGGTGGACTATTGTTCGGTCTACGTGGCACCAAGTATGGTATAAACGGGGACGTGACTGCACTAAACTTGCCTTTAAATACAGACCACGCCTCATCAACTGATGAGCTAGTATCTACTGATCAATCTATCTTAGTAGCACAATCCTGAATTTCTGGTATGTTAGCTCTCCATATGTTTGGGCGAGGCTTAATCTGATCGTATATCATATCGCTAGCTCTAAACGTGAATGATAAAACAGCGTGATCGCTATTTACTAACGGGGGAAGAATATTTAGGTTGGCAATATCCTCAGTCTCATGGGTAATTACCAAGTCCAACAGAGAAGAACCTTGGTTTACACCGAAACGTGTAGGTTTGGATACATGTTGTACTAATGCATGTTCCATTACTGTTTCCAAGAGCCTGCTATCAAATGAGTTTATAGAGCATTTCGTGGTCATCTCAGTCCAACTAATGTCAGGTGCATTAAAGTCTCCTAATATCAAGCATCTGTTATTTGCACTCCATAGCCGAATGTGCTCTAAAATAAAGTCATCAGCTAAGCAGATTGGGCTGCGATAGATGACACCGAGTGCAAATGTACAACATCCGACAGTGAGTTCACAGCTAATGACTTCACTAGTTCCACTATCATGGGATTCGCAAACGGAGGAGCGGATATTTATACTATTGGCTATGTATAGAAGGACGCCACCTCCTTTCCTGCATCTATGTCTATCACTTCTTAAACAATGATATCCGGATAATTCTGGGGTGATATCGAAGTCATGGACTAACCAAGTTTCCGTCACAGCTACAATGAGTGGCCTTAATTTGTCCACTAATGTTCCTAGCTCGTAGAATTTATGTTTTAGACTACGGGCGTTGGCATATAAAACTCCTAGGGGGAACGACCTATCCACACAGGCCTTGGTAGCATTCGCTTCCAAGACCTGACTATTCGAAAACCCACCAATCGGAGATTTTCTTCACCGTTTTGTCGACGGGTTTCTAGTTCAGCTAGTGCCGTCTTCCTTTTTATTCTATCTTCAAGAGACACATCCGGTCGCATCCGAATGTCAGAGCTGTCGTGACTTCGAGCTTTACTTAACAGAAGATTACGTTGTTTCTCCGACCCTAAGATTACCTTAAGGAGTCTAAACGGTCGGGGTAGAACACTGTCATCGGCTCTTTTACTTATTCTAACTAATTTTTTGACCTGAACACCTTCAGTGTTATCTGGTAATATGCTACGGATATATTCTCCGAGCCTCTCTAAGTCATGGGTGTGTCTAACCTTAGGATCTGAATCGTTAGACTCTGGCAATTTACTCACAATAATATTCGATGATATTAAATTCCTCTCAGTCGCACTAGGATGATGATCTGCCGTTCTATCAGAGTGCGATAATGCATTGAGTGACTCAGACTGTGAGTTCCTCAATGGCTTGTCAACCAAGTGTGCTTTATCATTAGCTTTTTTTCCTTTTCTTTTCCTCTTTACTGCCGTCCATTTTTGGTCATTCAGGACAGCTGCATTGGGACTATTGGGGACGGTGACGGTTTTATCCGGGTCCTCAATTTCTACTAAAGATACATGATTACTCATGTCAATACCATGTAGTGATTTACTCCTCGTTTGTTGTAACGGAAGTTTCACTTTGTCATTAATTAGAGTAGGTTGTTCAGTGCGTTTTGTAACAGCACTTACAACACTGACACAGTCTTCACTGTCAGTGCTTGCGTTACTAGCGCACCCACTATCTTTCTTTTTACAGGCTAGAGCCAATAGGCTCATAGCTTCTTGAATTAATGTCGTCTTGTTAGTACAGCATAACATACAAAGCCAGTGCGAGTTAGGCTTAGAACATCTTTTGTATGCAGCTGGACTGAGACGGGTACACACCTTGTGGTACCATTTTTTGCATTCATCGCACTGCATCCCTTCATCTACGGGGAATAAACAGTTCGGCTGTCCACATTTGAATGAACTACCAACCATTGTAATCAGATTAGGTTTAAAAACAATATGATCACAATAATAGCACAAGCGTCAGAGTATCTGCAAAAGAAGGAACCACGAGACAAAGTTTTCAATAAAATTTCAAACCTTAACTGGATTAATTCAAGTTAAAGTAGACCAAGAATGCTTTTGATACAGCAAATACAAAAGCAACGATAATCACAACAAGTATGAAAGTCACTGCCCTTTTTGAAATGCGCGATTTATTCTACACTGAAAAACTTTATCTCCTCTCCAGGTCTTTGAATTTTGCAGCAGTAATAGAATTGGTGCTTGTGTTCAGGGTCTTGATATTTTTTTGCTTGAGCATCAGAATGAGAGGGCGTTCCAGTTATGCTCAAACCGCATTTCATTAGAACAGTCTTCGGAGGTTAGTGAGGGAAGTTGTTCTTGAATCATTCTTAATTATAGCAGATGAATTTAATGACTACAACCTCCCAACTTAAATGATGGACTTAATTCTGTCAGTGTCAACAATAAAATCGTATAAAGTGCCAAGCAACTACAGTGAACAAATCCAATCGACTTTGAGTATGCAATGAATTATTGGAAGCTGTAAATAAGGACGGAATATGATTATTAGAGTTATCCAAATTAATCAGATCCGATTTACAGAGTTCTAAACGAAGAGTAATTTCATAAGCCTACTGGATGTGTCCAATTTTACAACATTTAAAGCACTTAGCATTATGCAAGACACATGAATTATGTAAGTGAAATTTATCACAGGATAAACATTCCCTAAATCTGTGCTCAGTTCTGTAGCCTGTTTTGTAGTTCATTGGTAATTCATTTTTCATCTCACGAAAATCGGGGCTATATTTAACCAAACGCGAGCTTGAGCGACCTTGAAAAGGTAAAGAAGTGTAGTATATATTTCCATCAACCGGGAATCAAACTCATTGGCTGCTCATACGTCCTACTGCCATTTCGCTTGAACCATCTTTCTGGTCAGTTACAGCAATTTTGACTACTTACACACGTCAAGTGAGATGGAGTGTAACGAGAGTGGAAGCTTTATCAGAAGGGTAGTTTATGTACAGTCAAACGAGGTTACTTAAAAAGTCACAAAATATTTTATTATTCTGGGATCATAGTGTAGCAGTAAATAAATCCCCAAAATCAATAGCTCCATAAGTG